GTTGAACAATGAGAACACTTGGACACAGGAAGGGGAACATCACACACCAAGGCCTTTTGTGGGGTGGGGGGAGGGGGGAGGGGGGAGGGAGAGCATTAGGAGATATAACTAATGTAAATGATGAGTTAATGGGTGCAGCACACCAACATGGCACATGTATACATATGTAACAAACCTGCATGTTGTGCACATGTACCCTAGAACTTAAAGTATAATAAAAAATTTATTAAAAAATGGAGAAAGGTACACACATTTAGGTTATATTTTGGAGATGTTACTGACAGGACCTGCCAATGGATTGGACATGGGAGGAGAGGGAATGAGAGAATGTACATATTTCCACACATGAAATGTTAACTATATGTCATACCAAATGCATGATCCAAAAAGTAAAACCTAAACTTCATCAAAATTAAAACTCATTCTATGAGGCTGGGCGCGGTGGCTCCTCCGTGTAATCCCAGCACTTCGGGAGGCCGAGATGGGCAGATCTCCTGAGGTCAGGAGTTTGAGACTAGCCTGGTCAACATGGTGAAACCCTGTCTCTACTAAAAATACAAAAATTAGCCAGGCATGGTGGTGGGTGCCTGTAATCCCAGCTACTCGGGAGGCTGAAGTAGGAGAATCACTTGAACCCGAGAAGCAGAGGTTGCAGGGAGCCAAAATCACACCACTGCACTCTAACTTGGGTGACAGAGTGAGACTCTGTTTCAAAAAAAAACAAAAAAACAAAAAAACAAACAAACAAAAAAACTCATTCTGTGAAAGACTCTGTTAAGAGGACAAAAAGGCAAGCTACAGAGTGGGAGAAAATACTTGAAAACCACATATCCAACAAAGGACTAGTACATGGAATATATAAAAAAAATTTCAAAACTCAACAGTATGAGAAAATCCAATTAGAACATGGATAAAAGACACAAAGACATATTTCATGCACACAGTAACACAGATGGCAAATAAACACATGAAATGATGCTCAATATCATTATTCAATGGGGAAATGTAAATTAAAACCACAAGCTATCAGTTTGGTAATGAATTCCTACAATTTTATATTGCTTTGACATCCACTTTAAATATAAGCTGGGCTTTCTCACACCAGAGGCAGGACTCCGTCACCTTGGACACAGTTTTCAGTTTGATGCTCCCTTCCCCCAGTTCCTCAATGCAGTGGATCCAGGTATCTGCCTTATACAACTGCTCTCTGGTGACCACTTCCCTAGGTGGTGGCTAGATGCAGGCTGCTTGACTGGCCTTGCTGATCCTCACGCATGGAACGAACTATGTAGACATGCCACAGTGACTACCTCTCAGTCACAGCATGACCCCCTGCTTGCTTTAAATCCACCAATTAAGCTCCCTGTTAGAAACCTGTTTCGATAACTCTCTGGACCTAATAAGGGTACTGGCCCACAGGTCCCTTCCTCTCCCTGACCAATGTGTATGGCCGCCAGGAGTGTCATGCGCCCTCAACCTGTAAGTAATATAATCTTTATTTCCATCTTGTGTCTCTCCTAATCATTGAAAGTGTGCTTTCTTAAAAATCCTAAATTGAAACAAACTTACATCTATTAAAATGAGTAAAATAGGCCAGGCACACGCCTGTAATCTCATGACTTTGGGAGGCTGAGGCGGCTGGATGACTTGAGCCCAGGAGTTTGAGACTAGCTTCTCCAACATAGTAAAATCCCATCTCTGCAAAAAGAAAAAAAAAAAAGAAAAGAAAAGAAAAGAAAAATCAGCCAGGCATGGTGGCAGATGCCTATAGTCCTGCTACTGATGGCTGGTGCCCCACCCTACTTCCAGCACTGAAGTGGGCAGTTTACTTGAGCCGGGAGGTCAGGCTTCAGTGAATCTTGATTATGCTACTGAATTCCAGCCTGGGCAACAAAGAAAGACCCTGTGTCAAAACAAACAAGCAAGCAAACAAACAAAACAAAGTAAAATAAAAAAATAAAGACAATTAAGGCTGGAAAGGATGTAGAAAAACTAGGTCATTGATATGTTGCTGGTGAGAATATAAAATGATACAGATGCTCTGAAAAACAGTTTGGCAGTTTCTTTAAAAAAGAAATATGCAACTACCATGTAACCCAGTAATTGAACTTCAGTCATCTATTCCAAAGAAATGAAGACTCGCATTAATACAAAAACCGGTACATGAATGTTTATAGTAGCTTTATTCATAACAGCAAAAACTGGAAACAAACTATTAATATATGTGCTTTATTGAGCAAATAGTTAAACAAACTATGGTACATACATACAATGGAATACGGCTCAGCAGTGAAAAAGGAATGAACTACTGATACATGCAACAACTTGGATGCATCTCCAGAGAATCATGCCAAGTGTAAAAAGATAAGCCCTAAAGATTACATACTGTATTATTCCATTTCTACAGTATTTTTGAAATGACAAAATTACAAAATGGAGAACAGATAAGTGGTTGTTATGGGTAAAGGAGAGGGTGGCAGCAGGAGGGAAATGACTGTGGCTATAAAAGGGCAACATGAGGAACACTTGTGGTGATGGAAGTGATGTATCAATGTCAGCATCTTGGTTATGATATTGGACTATAGTTTTGCAAGATGTTGTCACTGGGGAAACTGGATAAAGGCTACATGGGATCTTTCTGTGTTATTTCTTACAAGTGTATATAATTATATCAAAATAAAAAATTTTCCTTTTTAAAAAAGTTAACCATTTGACATGGCTCTAATATATATATCCCTATCTATCTATCTATCTATCTATCTATCTATCTATCTATCTATAAAATAACATCTTTCACTTAAATGCACCATAGAATTTGTTGTGGAAGTTTTGGCTAGGGCATGAGGTGAGTAAATGCAGTTTTTGCAAGTGAGGATTGAGACCACCTGGTTGTAGGACTTGTAGAAGAAGTAGAGCATAACTGGCTGTAAGGCTTTAAATTACATTACCCACTTTGAAAGTCTACACTGGTTGAGAATTAGAGGCTGGAAGAGAAAATTTTTGCAAATTATTGTTAGGCTGCGATACCACCCCTCTCCTCAAGGAAGTCCCTTTTCACCCTAATTCAAGAGAGGAAGCTTAAAGAGACCACTAGAAGAACTTAAGGTCTCGGGGAGATCGATGTGTTGACCTCTCATTTGGAAAATCCAAAGAGCTAGACCTGGCTAGTTCCTCAGAGGGCAGAGACACAAAAGGGTAATGTGAATGTTTGGAGGAGCCGTTTGATTTCCTGCCTGTGCCTCCTGTGGGCAGAGTCTCACAGGAAGCCATCTAACAAAGAAGGCTGGGAAATGTAGTTTGTGGACTCCCTGCCTAGCCATCATCTCGAAGCAGAGGGTAGGAGAGTATGGGGTTCAAAGATTACAGGCAAGTAACCTGCATAGCACCTTTTCAGGAAAAAAAAAAAAAAAAAAAAAAATCCTCCATTAGACAGTAAACTCCATAAAGAAAAACTGACTTCTTTGGTTTTTAATCTTTGACGGACTTTATAGACTCTAGGGCCTATCACAGTGCTTGCCATATAAAATGCTCAATCAATATCAACAGATATTTAAGTGAATAAATGCCTGTTCTTACCATTGGTAAAATTTAAATCAGTATTCAACTTAAATGATTGCCAGGTAATACAACCGATTTTTAAACAAATTAATGCATATGGACATAAATGTTTTACAGTATCCAAATAGTGCTGACATTACTCAAGGAATTGTTTAGGACTACTCGTTCAAAATTGCCTTTCAGACCTAGTTCTTGAGAAATACATTATAATTATTTCTATAAAAGTGGGCATGACTAGTAGAATCTAGTTCTACTGGTTTTGATCTGGATGACTTAATATTATTTCTGAAAATTAAATCCACTCTCAAAGAACAGACTTGTTACTAATTTTGGTAAGTACTTACCACGATTTCCAATTAAACTTGAGGCAACATGATGTCTTAGTCCACTTCCGCCATTGTAAGTTTGAAATAAGATGGCAAATGTGGTGAATAATAATGGTAATAACTCAAATACGACTTTGGCCTTTGCTGCCTTCCTATGACGACAGAATCACCACCCTCCAGCCCTCACCCCTCACCCCAGCAATCCAAGTAATTTCAGGAAGCTATTTGTTTCCTTATCCTTAGGTTATTTTCAGTTAAGACAAATGTACAAGCACAAAAAGGAGTGCCTTAGCTTCTGACTCCTAGGGCATAAACCAAGACACACTTTACTATCACACACTCATTTCTCTAAAGGGAAGAAGCCATAAAATGTCTACTATAGTAAAATAGGAAACATTTCAAGGGACAGTAAGGTGTGGGGAAGAATGGGCAGATGTTGTGGCTGTTACCTGCGTGAAGGTAAATAAAATATTAACAATAATAACCACTTCTACAGCGCTATGTGCCAGGTGCTGTTTACGCTTTCAATCACAGCTCTGTGAGGTAGACACTTATGACTCCCATTTTACAGATGAGAAAATTGAGGCTCACGAAGGTGTTTAACTAGCCAAGGCCACTTGGCTAAGAAGTGAGAGGCCAAGGTTCAATCCTAGGCAATCTGCCTTAAGTTCCTGTTCTGTTAAAAAATAATAATAATAATTAAAGGTATCTGGCAATTTTTTTAAACGTTAGGACTGTCATCTGTGGAATCAACTGAAAAGGGAATCAATACTTCAGAAACTGTGATACACCAAGGGAACCTGCTATCCCGGGGAAGAGAGAGAAAGGAGAAGTCAGCTGACTACTCCTTCAGACTAGCTCAGACCACCCCAGCCCGCGACGGCCCTGGACACCCCTGTAACGCAACAGATCCCTTACTGGGTCCCTTCCAAGTGGCGTCACATCGCAAGCGTCCAGAAGGAGGCGGGACTTCCGGGCCAAGCAAGCCATATCGGCCGCGCCGGAAGTCCCTACTGAGGAAAGCTTTGAGGATACTCTGTTCATAAGCTCATGGTGAATATAGCGTTCCACAGACTCGGAAGAAAGGTTGGGACAAGAGTTCAGTGGCGATTGACAAGTACTCGGGGTAGTGAAAAGTAGGAGTTGGAACATGGATAGCCGCTTGCAGGAGATCCGGGAGCGGCAGAAGTTACGGCGACAGCTCCTCGCGCAGCAGGTCCGCGGCCCTGGTGGCCCCTGTGGGAGGGATCGAGAATGCGAGTGCGCGGCCGCCTCCTCCCTCCACACCCCGCCTTTTTCTGTCCCCTCTCTACCTGCCGCTGTTAAGGCCTTTCTGGTCCTTCGATCCTGATCCCTGGTTCTCCCTTTGTAGTTCTCAATTTTCGTGGTGCCCCGAATGTTTTTCAAGTTCCTTCCGCGGTCTTTGTGGTGCTAAACCGAATGCCACGAATAGCCTTTAACCTTTGTGGAACGCCCACCGAGTGTCTGGCATGTTCACGCCACGATGAGTGTCTTGTTATTCCCTACATTTCTCTTCACTATTTAACTGGTCATCTATTTCTTACTTTTCCTCGTCGTCAGTCCCAAATCCTTGAAATTGTGGTTTCATTATGAAATATTTTTACAGTTTACAGTATTTTCTTTGACATCTTTCTGAAGACTACACTGGAAGTAGTCTGAGTGTAAATTTTATATTCTGCGTCTTATGTACAATATCCTTGTCACATCCACAGTTAATATTTGAAATCTTACTCTGTGTTAGTCACAATAATCTCCTGAAACAGGTAGTATTACCTTCACTTATCAAGTAATGAAATAGGCTCCATAGGTTAAGGAATTTTACTCCTGGTCGCTCACTTCTCGGCTGGGAAATAGAACCTAGGTTGTCTCCCCAAAGCTTATCTTCCAAACCATTGCCCTTCACTTCTTTCTTGTGCATGAGTAAGTTAACATTTGCTGATTAGTAGCAGAAAATACAGCTTGTGTACAGTTCTACTTAAAATCGAGGCTGTATTTTCAATTCTACTATTCATATCAGTAAAAGTGGTAGGAGAAATGCTCATAGACTGTAATTAGTCATCTTGCTGTTATTTTTCAGTAAACTTGGTTTTAGTAAATGGACTTCTGAAATCTGATGAACACATTTGTGGTATACTGCTGAAACTGTGGGAACTTGGAATCAGATTTATTCCTTATCCCGCTGGCATTACGATCTTGGACAAATCAAATATCCTTTCTAAGTCTTCTTTTCCCTAACTTCTTTTATCGTATTATCTTCAATAATGTTCAGTAGCTCTTTGTTGCTACCACAGATGTTTTACTCCTTAATATGGAATTCAGATTTCTATTTCACTCAAGATACATTCATAGGACAATTATTTGTTGAGTGTTTTACACTCAACAAATCCCAGGGGCTCCAGCTTTTAAAGTTTTTTTATGAATTGGTTGCACTCTACTTAGCCTTGTAACCATTATTTGTTTGTATTTTGCAAAATTTTCCCAACTGCCAAACAAAATTTATGTTGCCGTTTTAAGGTAGTGAAGTTCAGCATTGTGTCCATAAATAGTAAGACTTAGCTTGAGTAAAACTGGATCGATTTTTATTAGAGCATAGCATAAATAAGTTACATTATATAAGCTGATGCCTACAAAATGTTTAACATGGTACCCACAACCCTGTGCACAGTCTTACCTGCTTTTTTTGGTTATTGCTACTGCAGGTTGAATATCTCTTAATCTGAAATGCTTGGGCCAGAAGTGTTTTGGATTTCAGACTTTTTTCAGGATTTGGAATATTTGCATATTACTGGTTGAACATGCCAAATATCAAAAGTTTTCAAAATATGAATGCTTCAGTGACCATTTGCTTTGAATGTCATGTCAGTACTCAAAAAGTTCCAGATTCTGGAGCATTTTGGATTTTGGATTTTCGGATTTGGAATGCTCAATCTATATTAATTCGTGTATATTACTTTACAGGAATTTGGCTAAAGTGTCTTATTTTCAAATACAGATGGTTCCAGACTTACTATGATTTGACTTAACAATCAACTTTATGATGGTTTGAAAGTGATAGGCATCCAGGCTGCTCAATGACTTATGATGGAATTATGTCCTGATAAGCCCATCATAAGTGGAAAATACTATAAGTTGAAAACGCACTTACCACGTTTATTTTGAAACAGATTTACTTTCAACTTACAATGGGTTTATCAGGACATAACCTCATAAATCAAGGAGCATCCGTATAACTGAAAGCATAAAATGTTTGCCAGCTGTCAAACTCATTCTTAATTAATGCAGTTTTTTTTTCCAGGGTTTTTCCAGTTTGTCTTGCAGGCTGATTAATTCTTTGTTATTGTGTGTATGTGAATTAAGGTGTTTTTGTTTTTTAAGTATTTAATATATTAAATGCTGCTACAAATGTCTAGAAAGGCTGTCCAATGCATTGTAATCTAATTTCTGATTTTGCCTTTTCTCAGCTGGGAGCTGAAAGTGCCGACAGCATTGGTGCCGTGTTAAATAGCAAAGATGAGCAGAGAGAAATTGCTGAAACAAGAGAGACTTGCAGGTCAGTCAAATAATTCTTTTTTGTGTGTGTGAGACAGGGTTTCACTCTGTTACCTAGGCCGGATAGGTTGGAGTGCAGTAGAGTGATCATGGCTCTCTGCAGCCTTGACTTCCTGAGCTCAAGTGGTACGCCTGCCTTGGCCTCCCAATGTGCTGAGATTATAGGTATGAGCCACTGTGCCGAGGCAGGTGGATCATTTGAGCCCAGGAAGTCAGGAGTTCGAGGCCAGTCTGGTTAACATGGTGAAACCCCGTCTCTACTAAAAATACAAAAATTAGCCGAACGTGGTGGCGGGCGCCTGTAATCCCAGCTACTCGGGAGGTTGAGGCAGGAGAATTGCTTAAAACCGGCAAGCGGAGGCTGTAGTGAGCTAAACCAAGATTGTGCCACTGCACTCCAGCCTGGGAGACAAGAGTGAGACTCCATCTCAAAAAGAAAAAAAAACTGTGAAAGAATTACTGTTTTAATAAACAGATACCCCTAGGTAGGTGTGCAGTGTATTGAGAAAAGCATAAAAATAATGATTTTAGACACAATGGTTTTTATTGTCAGTTCATTAATTATGAAATATTTATTTTCTGAGGATAGTAAGTTCCCATTTGTAAAGTACTTAGAAAATGGAATGTTAGACTAAAAATTAGCATATATACTATAAATAAATAAGTATATTTAAGTTTTTTTTTTTTTTTTTTTTTTTTGGAGACGTAGTCTCTCTCTGTCACCAGGCTTGAGTGCAGTGATGCGATCTTGGCTTACTGCAACCTCTGCCTCCAGGGTTGAAGTGATTCTCTTGCCTCAGCCTCCCAAGTAGCTGGGACTACAGGTGCGCGCCACCACTTCCAGCTAATTTTTGTATTTTTAGTAAACATGGGATTTCATCATGTTGGCCAGGCTGGTCTCGATCTCTTGACTTTGTGATCCGCCTGTCTCGGCCTCCCAAAGTGCTGGGATTGCAGGCATGAGCCACCATGCCCAGCCTAGAAATTTGTATAAAAGGAAGTATACTTTACCCTAAAAGTGGTATTTATTTGGTAGTTCAGAAAGCATTTGAAAATTTTTTCGTTATTCTAGTTTTCAATTTGGACATATGTTTTGCTCAAAACAGATTAAAATAATACATACTATATAAGTTTCTTTTCAGTATATCACTTATAGCAGCTTATTTTCTCATTTGGTTGCTTTCTCATGAAAATGAAGCACAGAATTATCAATCAAGTTATTTGACTTTTTGGATGACTTATAAACTGGGTAAATAGATACTCTTTAATCAGGAAAACTTTGTCTTGTTCTTTTTTATAATCTGTTTATTATTATTATTAATAGATACTTTTATGCATCTTGTATATGTTTGTGAGTAATATTTCTGTTTATTTTTCAGGGCTTCCTATGATACCTCTGCTCCAAATACGAAACGTAAGTATCTGGATGAAGGAGAGACAGATGAAGACAAAATGGAAGAATATAAGGCAAGTAGAGAGTGAAATAAGTTTATGGTCAAAGAAAACATAAATTCAAATGATAGATTTATATTTAGGAAAACAAATTTGATAGAAAGCCTCATTTTAAGATGTGCTAAAATAATTATCAGTGGCGTATGTTATCACTGGTTACATTAAGACCATGGTATCAGTTTTCTTATCTTTTTCTTTTTCTTTTTTTTTTTTGAGATGGAGTCTTGCTCTGTCGCCAGGCCGGAGTGCAATGGCACAATCTTGGCTCACTGCAACCTCTGCCTCCTGGGTTCTAAGGGATTATTCTGCCTCAGCCTCCCAAGCACCTGGGACTACAGGTGTGCACCACCGTGCTCAGCTATTTTTTGTATTTTTAGTAGAGATGGGGTTTCACATGTTGACCGGGATGGTCTCGATCTCTTGACCTCATGATCCACCCGCCTTGGCCTCCCAAAGTGCTGGGATTACAGGTGTGAACCACTATGCCCAGCCAATTTTCTTTTCTTAATGCAAGAGTTGTGTGGATTAAATTAGATTATGTATATGAAGCACTTAGCATAATGTCTGGTAAGAACTAGGTAATAATATATATATATATTTTTTTTTTTTTGAGATGGAGTCTCACTCTTGTCGCCCAGGCTGGAGTGCAGTGGCGTGATCTCAGCCCATTGCAACCTCCTCCTCCTGGTTTCAAGCTATTCTTCTGCCTCAGCCTCTCGAGTAACTGGGACTACAGGCACGCACCGCCACGCCTGGCTAATTTTTGTATTTTTAGTAGAGATGGGGTTTTACCATATTGACCAGGCTTGTCTCGAACTCCTGACTTCATGATCCACCTGCCTTGACTTCCCAAAGTGTTGGGATTGTAGGCGTGAGCCATCGTGCCTGACCAGCACTAGGCAATAATATTCTTAAAGACGACTGAGGATATAAGTGTATCATAAACTTTGGGCCCGGTGTTGTGCCTCACGCTTGTAATCTAAGCACTTTGGGAGGCCAAGACGTGCAGATCACATAAGGTTAGGAGTTCAAGACCCTCCTGGCTAATGTGATGAAACCCTGTCTCTACTAAAAATACAAAAAATCAGCTGGGCATGGTGGCACATGCCTGTAATCCCAGCTACTCAGGTGGCTGAGGCAGGAGAACTGCTTGAACCTGGGAGGCAGAGGTTGCAGTGAGCCGAGACCATGCCACTGCACTCCAGCCTGGGCAACAGAGTGACTCTGTCTCAAAAAAAAAGAAAAAAAAAACCACGAAACTTTGAGTAATTGATTGGATCAGATTTTGAGAAGCTGCAGTAGTCTTTTTTGAGGAGGAGTTATTCCATGTTGACAATATTGGATAGTACAATCAAGATATTTTTAGGATTTATGGCCTAGACTACACTGTAGAAATATTTCTGAAAGAGCCTCAAGGGAAACCCAACTTCTAACTTGTAGTTGCAATATTTAGTTGAAATAGTTGAAAGTATTATGGTCCAAAAAACTTTCTTCTGTTTTTTGCAAGTTAATTGTATATAATAGAGATAAGAATGTATAGTTTCAATAAAATCTCTAGAAAGTTCAGTGAAATAATACCTAATCTCGCGAATAATGTCTTATATGTTGCAGTTCTGATAATACATAACTTAAATGCTTGTGATTATTTTAGGTGGAACCATATACAGTTGCTGATATTCTAACCTTTTTGACCTATAAGCATAGCAGTTTCGTATAGTTTAATCTAATGGAAATAAAATTGCAACATTGGTGGTCATATCTTTCATGACTCAAACTAAACTCTAATATTTATAGTATTGTGTATGAGATAAATAGTTTTAGACAAATCAACAAAATAGTAGTTATAGTAATTATTATTTATGATAGGAAATTTTTTTATGAAAAGAATCAACTAGCTAGATCTAATGATGGGAAAAGCAAAGACTTCAATGTTTGACTTCAATGCTAATTTAAAACATTTATTAAATCTTAAGGAAATAAAGTATTTATGTTGAGTTTTAATCAAGATGTGATAATTAGAGAAATAGCCCCTATTTGTAAAACATTTACTTAATCTTATGTTTTTCAAGGATGAACTAGAAATGCAACAGGAAGAAGAAAATTTGCCATATGAAGAAGAGATTTACAAAGATTCTAGTACTTTTCTTAAGGTAAAATAAATAATTTTTGTAACTCATCACATTTAAGCTCTATACCTGAAAAGATTTTAAATACCTATTTGTCTTCAAGATATTTTTTGATTATTTAAGGATCATTGTTATGAAATAAAGATTATTTAAAATTGCTCATGAAATAGTCTTCTGATATTTGGCTAGTGTGAGATAAAGGTATATTAATATCAGTAGCTACTGAAAAGTAATAATTTTAGTTGTATTTTCAAATATTACTATTTTTTAAATCTATCAATTGACTGCATTTTGTATGACCTTGTAGTAGAAAACAAAGTAGAGATAATTCATCTGCCATTACAGTGCATGCTACAAATTTAATTTTGTTTTTTTTTAATTTAGGGAACACAGAGCTTAAATCCCCATAATGATTACTGCCAACATTTTGTAGACACTGGACATAGACCTCAGAATTTCATCAGGGATGTAGGTATGTTAGATTTGTTTGGAATACGCTATTGCTGACTCTCAATTACATGCATGTAATTTATCCAATTTGTGGATATTTCTAACAAAATTATTCTTCCCAGCTTGACATCTTTTTTTTGTTCTCAGTGCTCCTGATATACCTTCTTTTTCTTTTCTTTCTTTCTCTCTCTCTTTCTTTCTTTTCTTTTCTTTTCTTTCTTTTATTTCTTTTCTTTCTTTTCTTTTTTTTTTTTTTGAGACAGAGCCTTGCTCTGTTGCCCAGGCTGGAGTGCAGTGGGGAGATCTTGGCTCACTGTAACCTCTGCCTCCCGGATTCAAGCGATTCTCCTGCCTCAGCCTCTTTAGTAACTGGGATTACAGGCACCTGCCACCACGCCTGGATAATTTTTATATTTTTAGTAGAGACAAGGTTTCACCATGTTGGCCAGGTTGGTCTCAAACACCTGACCTTAGGTGATCTGCCTGCCTCGGCCTCCCAAAGTGCTGAGATTACAGGCGTAAGCTATTGCGCCGGGCCCGGTATACCTTCTTTTTCTGTCAATCAATATTATTATTTTTTTGTTTGTTTCTTTTTGGCTCCAGTTTGGTACTATGCCTATTCTTGCATTTTAGACAGATTTATTGAGATAATACTTATATACTGTACAATTCACTCAAAGAGTATAATTCAGTGTTTTTCTTTAATGTATCCACAGGGTTGTGCAACTATTACCACAATCTATATTAGAACATTTGCATCTCCCCTAAGGAAGCCCTGTACCCATTAGCAGTCAGTCCCCATTTCCTCTTTCTCATCTACCCCTTCTCAGCCTTAAGTATCTACTGATCTACTTTATATTTCTATACATTTACCTATTTTGGACATTTCATATAAATGAAATTATACAATGTGTGGTGGTTTGTCATGGCTTCTTTCACTTAGCCTATTTTTAAGGGTCATTGATGTTGAAGCATGTGCCTGTACTTCATGTTTTTAAATTGCCAAGTAATATGCCATTATATATGTTTACCTTTCTAACAACTACTCAAGTGTTTTTCCAAGCAGCTGCACCATTTTACATTTTTACTAATGATGTATGATGGTTCCAGTTTCTTCACATCTTGGGCACTTATTATTATCTGTTTTTTATGGTAGCCATCCTAGTAAGTGTGAAGTGGTATTTTATTGTAGTTTTGATTTGCATTTGCCTAGTGGCTAATGATACTGAGCATCTTTTTATATGCTTATTGGCCATTTAAATATCTTTTTTAGAGAGATATCGTAATACTTTGTGTATTTTTAAATTGTTTCACTGTCTTTTTACTATTGAATAACAACAGTCTTATATATTCTCTTTGTGTGTGGGTGTGGGTGTGTATTTTTTACATATTCTGAGTACAAGTCTCTTACCTGATGAATAATTTGCAAATATTTTCTCGCATTCTGTGGGTCACTTTCTTGATAGTATATTTTGTAGGACAAACATTCTATTTTTGATATAATCAAATTTAGTTTTTCCTTTGTTACTTGTAAGCAACATTACTCTTGAAGTAGAGAAACCAATTTTAATGTTTTTGTAAGCAAAATGTAGATGTAGTATAAAAATTTGTGGTTAAATTGTATAACCAGATTTAGATATAAACTGCTGTGCTCTTAGGATACCTGCCTCCCCAAGGCAAAGAAAACATACTTAGAAAACTATTACAGATTGAGGAAAAGTTGTACCTTCTGTTTTGTAGATGATTAGAAGCTGACTCTGCTGTCTTGAAACTTGACTATAATAAAATCTTCAAATTCATTTTATTTGAAATGTGATCTGCCACCACTGATTGAGGAAGCTTTATAAACTGTTTTTCTTTTTTTCTTTGATGTTAAAGTTACTAATATTTGTATTTTTGGTTTTTAAATTAGGAAGTTCATATAATTTATTGTTGTTATAAATATGCTTCCTGTTTGGGAAGAAACACTTGTTTTCTTTGCTTTTGAATAACTATCCAAGAAATTAAGTACAAATCTTAATCAGGTTCTTTAGGAGAAGGTTTTTTTTGTTGTTGTTTTTTTAGCTAAGAGGAAGGGGGAAAAAATCACACAAGAAAGGTAATTTATTTTGTTTTTTTTCCCCTGAGTGTTAAACTGGATGCTAGGGGTGATTGTTTAACTTAATAAATATGTGATATTAAGTGGCTTATTGACTTGGACTGGGTTTTAAGAACATCTGGATTTTTACTTGCATGTCATTAGTTATGAAATCTGCATACATATTGTTTAAAATTATTAGAAATTAAGCTTTCTTAAGATATATGAGTCAAGTGGTGTATGTATTGTTTTGTTTTCTTGAAAGGGCTCATAACTTTTGAATTACTGATATTAACTTCAGTTGAGTTGAATTTAGATTTTACTATTTTTTCTGCTCAGGTTTAGCTGACAGATTTGAAGAATATCCTAAACTGAGGGAGCTCATCAGGCTAAAGGATGAGTTAATAGCTAAATCTAACACTCCTCCTATGTAAGTGTTTTTATTCAATTACTGTTTATTCCCAACTCAGGCTTAAAATATCAATTTGTTTATCCTGTAACCTTTTTTCTTTTTCCTAAATTCAGCACTCATGTTAACATGCTTTATTACTCTGTTTCTTCTCTCTGCTTTTTTGTTTTTTAAAGACTGGGTCTCATTATGTTGCCCAGGCTTGTGTCCATCTCCTGGGCTCAAGCAATCCTTCCACCTCGGCTGGACTACAGGCATTTCACTCCTGGCTCTATATTTCTTTTTTGAGATGGATTCTCGCTCTGTTGCCCAGACTGCGGTGTGGAGAGCAGTCGCGTGATCTCGGCTCACTGTAACCTCCGCCTCCTGGGTTCAAGCGATTCTCATGCCTCAGCATTCTGAAGAGCTGGGATTACAGGCATGTACCACCATGCCTGGCTAATTTTTGGCACACACCACCATGCCTGGCTAATTTTTGGTAGAGACGGGGTTTTACCATGTTGCCCAGGCTGGTCTCAAACTCCTGACCTCGGGTGATTTGCCCCCCTCAGCCTCAAAGTGCTGGGATTACAGGCATGAGCCACCTCACTGAGCCCTATTTCTTCATTATAGCAAAAATGTTGATTTGAAACTCTGGTGCTGACTTCACAGTGGCCTCTCAGGTTTTTTTTCAGCTTTTCAGATAATTTGCTTAAAGTGCCTCTAAATATTTTTTCTTCTTAAAAGTCATCCAAGCCGGGCACGGTGGCTCGCCTCTAATCCCAGCACTTTGGGAGGCTGAGGCAGGTGGATCACCTGAGGTCACGAGTTTGAGACCAGCCTGGCCAACATGCTGAAACCTCATCTCTACTAAAAATGCAAAAATTAGCCGGGCATGGTGGCACGTGCTTGTAATCCCAGCTACTCAGGAGGCTGAGGCAGGAGAATCATTTGAACCTGGGAGGCAGAGGTTGCAGTGAGCTGAGATCGCTTGATTGCACTTTAGCCTGGTTGACAGAATGAGACTCCATATTCTTGATAACTTACTTAAAATGCCTTTAAATGATATCTTGTCAAGTAATTTGTTTGTTAAAGGAAGCTTAGAAAATGTAGATTCAGGATAAGAAGAAAACAAATACTAATAACAGCTTAGCATTCTGAGATACTATTCTTAACAATTTGGAATATGATAATTCTTTTTAACCTTGCTGAACAGAATAATAATATTTTCCTCAGAAATGTTTATGAGATCTTTGCAATTGGAGAATTTAGCTTTAAATGTTTTGTACATTTAACGATATGATGAAATGTGTTTTGGGCTGGGTGCGGTGGCTCATACCTGTAATCCCAGCACTTTGGGAGGCCGAGGTGGGCGGATCACGAGAGCAAGAGATCGAGACTGTCCTGGCCAACATAGTGAAACCCTATCTCTACTAAAAATATGAAAATTAGCTGGGTGTGGTAGCACATGCCTGTAGGGAGGCAGAGCTTGCAGTGAGCCGAGATTGTGCCACTGCACTCCAGCCTGGTGACAGAGTGAGACACTTTCTCAAAAAAAAAAAAAAAAAAAGTATTCTGTAAGTCATTAGAAGCACCACAGAATGTCTTAGTATGTGGAGAGGAAGTCTAAGTGTACTCTAATATTCGTCGTATTTTAAAATACACCTTTACTTGCTTGCTTATTTATTTATTTATTTACATAGAGACAGGGTCTCACTGTGTTGCCCAGGCTGGTCTCAAATTCCTGGGGTCAATCAATCCTCCCACCTTGGCCTCCCAAAGTATTATAGGCATGAGCCACCATGCGTGGCCTAAAATATACCTTTAATGAGATGTTGAGGTGGGAATATCACTTGAGCCCAAGAGTTTGAGGTTGCAGTACTCTATGATCAGGCCTGTGAATAGCCACTGCATTCATCCTGAGCAATATAGTGAGACCTTGTCTCAAAAAAAAAAAAAAAACCACGAAAACCCATTTACATTTAAAGCATTTTAAATTTAAAATATTTTCATGCTATGTGAAAATATCTTTTCAATAAAGGCCAGTACTAACTTATATTAGGTAGCATGAAAAGACTCTTAATAGAAACATTTTTATTAATGACAAAACTAATAAAAGAAAATTATATGAAAACTGTGTTTTAGGGGGAAGCATGTAAAGCTTACAGAGAAATGGATTTTCTAACTAAACAATTGAGAATAAAACAATGAAAAATTCAGATGAGAATGGAAAGGGGTTTAGAGACACATCTGAGTATGGATTTTTAATATTGAGAGAAGAATATATTCTGGGTGTACATGGGGAATAATAGGACTTTTACTATGTAGTTTAATTATGTTCATGACTTAAGAAAGATCACTGGTAGATGGTTTAAGTCTATACTGAAGAAAAAAAGACTCAATAAAAAGGCCTTTAATAATTAACTTACTGATTACTTTGTAAATAGTGTTTAGTAATAATGTTTAGTGATATCTAAGACTTTTCTTTCATTACCATCTGTTAAGGTACTTCAAAATCTTATTTAAAAAGCTTTTTTTAAAAAATCTCATTTTTTATGATTTAATCAAATAGGTACTTACAAGCTGATATAGAAGCCTTTGACATCAGAGAACTAACACCCAAATTTGATGTGATTCTTCTGGAACCCCCTTTAGAAGAATATTACAGAGAAACTGGTATCACTGCTAATGAAAAGTGCTGGACTTGGGATGATGTATGATGAAACTTTCTATGTTGTAATGAATTATTTATTTTCAAATGAATATGTTTATTTGGTCAGAAAGTGAGATAATAAATATCATCCCTACTTTTGTACGGATTATAAATACAGATTTATAGTGTAAATTATAGCTGAAGGTCCAAGGTACATTGACCAATATTACATTATCTTTAATTTGATTCTTCTTCTCAAGGCAAAAATTGAACATTGAGCAGATAATAAGCAAATAGGCTGTAGAAGACTTACAATTTTGGTCTTAGAGTCCTTGGCTCTTTAAACCATTTACAGTGTAGTAAAGTATGGATAAATAGCGTTTATGGACACATAATCACAATTTTGTTGATTAAATGATGGAGTCCTGCATAAGATGACATGAGAACAACTGACCAAGCCTAGGTAGATGGGACATATGAACACAGAGGAGGTGGCACCTGAACAATATAAATAGATTAGTTGGAATTAGTCAAGAAAGATGTGGGACGGGGCTTACAAGCACAAGGAACAACAAGAACAGAAGGGATGGAGGCAAATGACTGTCTGGTTGTGGGGTGGAGGTCCTGTATGTACATTGGTATTGTTGGAACACAGATTGGGACTATCTTGAGGTGATGTGTCAGGAGTTTGGACTTTTATTCTGAAGACATTAATAAGTCTTTGAAGAGTTTTAACCAGTTTTGTAAAAAGGTCAGATTGGTGTTTGGAAGCTGGGGTAGAGTCTGGGAAAGAATTCTGGAAAAATGGCTGGGCATGGTAGCTCATGCCTGTAATCCCAGCACTTTGGGAGGCGAGGCGGGTGGATCACGAGGTCTGGAGTTTGAGAGCAGCCTGATCAACATGGTGAAACCCCAGCTGTACTAAAAATATAAAAATTAGGTGGGCGTGGTGGCACGCACCTATTATCCCAGCTACTTCGGAGGCTGAGGCAGGAGAATCGCTTGAACCCGGGAGGCAGAGGTTGCAGTGAGTTGAGATTGCGCCATTGTACTCCAGCCTGGGCGACAGAGCAAGACTCTGTCTCAAAAAACAGAAAGAATTCTGGAAAAAGGAGAATAATTAGAAGACTCTTTCTTAGAGTAATGTAATGCTGAGATGAAGGGACCCTCAATTAGGGTAATAGTAGGCATGGAAAGAAGGTGATAACTTCAGTAATGTTTAGGAGGTAGATTTGGTAAGATTGAGTGATTGGGATGAGGGGAAGAGTTAAGGATAACTCATGGTCTCTATCTTGGGATAGGTGGATTGAATTGTCACCAACTGAGAGTGAGTTTCAGAAGACAAGCGGGATTAGAGAGGTTAAATAATATTGAATAAGTTGATTTCTAGGTATATGTGAGACATTCAAATGGAAGAGGTCATAGGAATAGAATATGAAACTCTAAGGACAGGCAGATCTGGTTTCAAAATACATATTTTAGAGGATTATCACATAAAATCCATGCAAATAGATGAATTTATCCTGGGATTGTGTCTCAGTATAAAAATGTGGACTGACGGTAAAACCTGGGAAAACATTTACAATTAAATACTACGTATAAAATAAATTTAAAAACGAGTTGTTCAGTGATGAATGAAGAGAACCAGGAGAGTATGAATGTAATGGAAACCAAGGGAACAGTGAGTTTCAAGGAGAGTGTAACCAGGAGCATCCTGCGCTTCTAGAAAAGATGTGGGGCAAGGAAGGGACTGAAACTGGAAGACATGTTTCTTAGAAAACAGATGGGAATCCTTGCATGTCCCTTTCTGAGTTAATGGTGGTTACTACTCTTAATCATATCTATTTTTCCAAGATTTACCTCTAATTCTTCCTCTTCCTTGAAGCTTTTCCTATTAGCTTTAATATTCCTAGCACTTTTATTTACATTTATGTGGCTCCTATAATGTAAAAGTTTTTCCCCTTCCCTGTTTAAAGTGTTATCTGTATTTATTGTTGAAAAATCAGAAAAGTGCACAGAATGTAGTATTTCTAAGACATAAGATTAAAGAGTTAATGCTCTTGATATTTATTGCAGATAAGTTTTCCAGATAGGTATAAATTTACATTCCTTTCAGTAGTGTTTAAGAATGTCTAGTTAAGCATATCCTCATTAAAGTTGAATATTAATATTAAAAACCATTTTTTGTCAGTTTGATCAAAAGAAAAAATTTAAGCAATCTGATTATGTCCTTTATTAATAATTAGGCAGAACTTTGTTTTCTCTAACCAATCCGTGAGGTTTCAGCAGTGAGGTACAAGAGCTTCAATTATATATAATAAACTAATACAGTTTTTAAAATAAAGAAATTCTATTTCATATGCAGATTCTTGATTTCAGTTTAATTTCACTGTACTTCAGCTCTGGCTGGCATATTGAAAAATTTTGTCTGGCCCCAGAGCCCTAAGCTCTTAACTTTTATGAGATATTATCCTAAAGAAAGTGCCAGTGGTTAATGTAATAACAAAATGTAAATAAGAAAAGTGTTTGGGTTTCACAGGTATTCTTTTTCATGGTGGAGAGTCAGTAGTGGTCATTGTGTTTTACTTAAGAACACAAGAATTTAATGAAAGTACCAACACTTAACTTTTAGAATTAGTGTCAAAAGAGAATTTTTTTTTTTTTTTTTTAGCATTTCAGACTTTAAGTAGTAATTGTAGGAAAATATGTGTATTGATTTATTGAGAAGTTCTTCTGTAGATACTAGATATCACAGTCCTCCCGAAACATTTATTGCTATATTTTATTTTTATTTTGTCCCTAACTCTGGGCTCAGTTAAGTGCTTCATTCTTTTTCAGTAAATGATAAAACATTGCTGGAGAATCTCTCTCAAGCTCTATCTTAAAAAATTCCATAATCCTATAGCTATTGTTTCCTATAAGCTCTTTCCATATAAAAGCAAGTGTATATATGTATATGTGAGCACATGTGTGTATGTTGTTTGTATATAAAGTAACAAAACAATAGAACAAGTAATTTTAAGGATAATGTTTATTTTCTATTATAGTTCCTAATGGAAACTAATATACTTAAAGAACACATCTATCCTAATCTTAATTGTTGTTCTTTTGGATTTAGGATGAATGGGGAACAAAATACTTTTATGCAATATTGTTTTGATTTCTTACAGATTATGAAGTTAGAAATTGATGAGATTGCAGCACCTCGATCATTTATTTTTCTCTGGTGTGGTTCTGGGGAGGGCCTGGACCTTGGAAGAGTGGTAAGATGGTGCTTTTATAAAGTGGATTTTTAAATTAATAAGAAAAAAAATACAACAGTATGTTGCATAGGATGTTTGAAAGTGGATGTTATTTTGTCCTTTGTTTCTTAAATAATTCTAAAATATTGAGAAAAAAAATTTCCAGAAAAGAACGTAAGAAAGGCAATACTTGTAAGTTAGTTAACCAGCACTAGGGATAAATGTGTAGCTCTTTCAAAAGACGCTTCATTACAAGTACAGGAAGAGAACAGCTTAAAGATTTGAAGCTCCAAATTATACCTCAAAAATGAGCTGCTTGGTGTCATTTACAATTCTTTATAAGTAGCTAAAAAGTATTCTATGAGTAGCTGAAAGTATTCAGGAGCATTGGCTCCTGAAATCCAAATGGAAGTCAAATAAAATTGGAAAAGTAACACAGCATATGGAAGACATGAATGAATGAGAAAGAAGTTATAATACCTGAACTTATTTTAAGTATCTAATATTTAATTGAATTTGAGCTTTTTTATTTTATTTTTGTATTGGAGGTTTTTTTTTTTTTCTTTTTTCTTTTTTTTGGGACAAGGTACCAACTCTGTTGCCCAGGCTAGAGTACGGTGGCACAGTCATGGCTTACTGCAGCCTCGACCTCCTGAACTCAAGCAGTTTTCCCACCTCAGCCTCCTAATAGCTGGGACCACAGGCACAACACTACCCCTGGCTAATTTTTTTAGTATTTGCAGAGATTAGGTCTTTTTATGTTGCCCAGGCTGGCCTCAAACTCCTGGGCTCAAGGGATCCTCCCACCTCAGCCTCCCAAAGTGTTGGGATTACAGGCATGAGCCACCATTCCTGGGCCTGATTGGCCCTGGCCAAAAGGAACAAAATAATATATATGCTGTTTTAAACAAGAATAACAACAGTATTATGACTAGGTATCAGGAGTCTTAATTTTGCTCTCAATTCGTCTGCTATGTAACAGTAAGACTTTGGGCAAAAAGATACTCTTGAGGGTCTCAGTTTCGTCACATTTTATTGGTTGACACTTTTCATTTTTATGACATATTACTTACTATACACCAAACTATCTCATTTAATCATTCCAATTTGGGGAGGTATCCATTTGACAGTTGAAAAATTTAAGTAGGATTATATGAGATAACAAGTATGATTATATGGAAATAAGATTGTGCCCAAATTCTGAAATTCTACAATTACTTTATATGCTTTATATAAATAGTAAGGCTGTTGGGTAACATCACTGCTTCTATTATTTATTAACTCCAAGGTAGACTATAACTGTATTTCAGTTGAATATCTCCATTTTTTTTTGGTGGTGGCTCTTCAAGATGCTATAGAAAAGTAAGAGTGAAACATATGTTTTTATAGGCATATTGGTATTTACTTTAACTTTAATATCTGACTTTGATCTTTCCTCTCATCTCTCATTCCCCAAATTAGATTGAAAATGATTAGGAGATTTTTATCTTTTTTTTTTTCTTTTGAGACAGAGCCTTGCTTTGTCACCCATGCTGGAATGCAGTTGTGCTATCTTGGCTCACTGTAAAGCCCTGCCTCCCAATTGAAGTGATTCTCCTGCTTCAGCCTCCTGAGTAGCCATCCAGGAGGTTTTTATCTTATTTGCTTATGCAGCAGTTTATCATACTGGTGAGAGTTTGGCGAAAAATGATTTAAGATTTAGAAAAATAATTCAGCATGAGAAATACTCATGAGCTTTTGATAAATTAGTGGATTAGGGCATGTAGAATTTAGGTCAGAGTGATGTTAATGACACGGTGCAAAATAAATATTTAGTAACAGGAACAAATATTGATCTTGATTTCGGAGATTTTAAAATAAAACTCTGCTGGGTGCAGTGGCTCATATCTGTCATCCCAGCACTTTGAGAGACAGAGGCGGGCAGATCACTTGAGGCCAGGAGTTCAAGACCAGCCTGGCCAACATGGTGAAACCCCATCTCTACTAAAAATACAAAAATTAGCATGGCATGGTGGCACGTGCTTGTGGTCCCAGCCAGTTGGGAAGCTGAGGCATGAGAATCACTTGAACCTGGGAAGCGGAGGTTGCAGTGAGTGAAGATTACACTCCTGAACTCTCGCCTGGGTGAAACTCCGTCTCTAAATAAATAATAAAATAAAATAAAATTCTAAGTTTCATTTTGAGGTGTTATCTTACATTACCCAATAAGCATTCCTGAAAAGTGTATGTTTTATACTCTACTATATCTTTTTTTTTTTTTTTTTGGTTCAGGGGGAACTCCCAACAGGATTTCCTGTGGTGGAAAGGAAGCTTGTTGGAAAGTTTTTTGTTTTTTGTTTTTTTTTTAATTATACTTTAAGTTCTGGGATACATGTGCAGACCATGCAGGTTTGTTACGTAGGTATACACGTGCCATGGTGGTTTGCTGCACCCATCAACCTGTAATCTACATTAGGTATTTCTCCTAATGCTATCCCTCCCCTAGTCCCCAACCCCCCTCTACTATATCTTTATATGTACTTGATCATCATACCAGCAATACTGTACTTATTTATTTATTTTTCCTTCCTTTATTCTTAAGTTGATGGGGATAGGGACTGTGTCTTATTCATGTTTTTATTCCCAGCAGCTACGCAGCACTAGCATATGGTAGACTTTCAGATGTCACTGTGAGCAATCATTTAGCTGGTATTTGTTTTATGTTAATGTGTAACAGCTTCTAGGTCATTAAGGTTCACATCTCTATTTTCTAGGTTATGTAGAGATGAAAGTACCATTTTACCCAACAAAGAGATACATGTAGCAATTTTAAGTTTGAACATTTTTACAGTCGTATTAAATATAGAAATAAGGTTTTATAAGACTCTCATTTGAAGTTAGCATTTAGAAGATTTTCAACAGTGTACAGCTTTGTCAGAGAATAGAATATTGAGGTGGTGGGAATCAAATTGTGTTTTGGATTATTTTGTGATTACAGAAGGTCTGAGCGCTTAAAATTTAAAACCCCATGTCCATTGATGACACTAGAATGTAGAATTGGGAGATGATGTAATCCTTTCTATGTTTTGATAGTCAACTATATATGTGACGTTGATATCCAGAAGGTATATATGTATTCCGTATTATGGCTATATATTTAAAGACTGGCATTTCTTTTTATATTCTACACTGAAAAAAAATTACCTTGAAACCTTGGAATATAGTGTCTGAAGCCTCTAGAAAGTTTTTTTTAAAGCTAGTTGGTTATTGTAAGTATTGTTTATTTCTTTAAGTTAAGGATTTCTGTTTAAAATTCTTTTGTTTCTAGTGTTTACGAAAATGGGGCTACAGAAGATGTGAAGATATTTGTTGGATTAAAACCAATAAAAACAATCCTGGGAAGACTAAGACTTTAGATCCAAAGGCTGTCTTTCAGAGAACAAAGGTATTGCCTTTACTGATTTGTTTTTTTAAATTTTCATGGTTTTCTCTCAAGCTTTTCCAAATCACTATATACTGTTTAATTAACTTTAGTAAAAAGGTCCTTTTCTTAGACTGGTGAAGATAGCATTGAGCATTACAGGAATACATCCAAATTTGTTTTAAAATGTTTTATTCATTGTCTTAGATAACCCCACCATGCTAAAAAGGGGAGTATATATTCCTCTATGTCCTAAATGCCATATTTCTATTAGATAAAGGCTTTTGATCACACTGACCTGTGGAATTTTTCTAGGCTCAGAAAGAAGAGAGAACCGCAAAACTCTAGCTGGCCAGCTTAGAGACATATTTCTCTCTTCTTTCCTTCTTTTTCCTTTACAAGAACCCCTGAGAACTTCTGTTTCTTGTGACTCTGAGTTGCTAGTATCAGGTTTTAACAGGTTTTGTTCTTTACTTTTTAGGGAGCCACTGGTGGGAGGGTCTTTCTTATTAAGTCTTTTTTGGACTGGAATCATGCCTAGGTAATGAAGCCTCCGTAAAAATTCCAAGACAGGGGTTGGAGAGCTGGGTTGGTGAACCTGTGGAGTTTCTGGGACTGTGGTCCACTTGGAGAGGGCACAGCAGCTCCATGCCCCATGCCCCATACTTTTCATTATATATCTCTTCCATCTGGCTGTTTTGAGTTGTATCCTTTTATAATAAATAGATCATAGTAAGTAAAGAGCTTTCCTGAATTCCTTGAGCTGTTCTAGCAAATGATCTAACTCGAGGAAGAGGTCGTGGGAACCTCTGATTTATAGCCAGTTGGTCAGAAGCACAGGTGACAATCTGGACTTGTGATTGGTATCTGAAGGTGGTGCAATCATGTGGTTCTCAGCCCTTGACCTGTGGGGTCTGCACTAACTAGGTAGATAGTGTCAGAATTGAATTGAATGTGTTGATGAAGAAATGAAGAATTGCTTGGTATGGGAAAAATCCACACATCTGGGATCAGAAATGAAGTATTCTGAAAATACTGAGTGTTGTAAGTGAGAGTGTAGAAAAGAGTTTTTCTTATTTACATGGCAGTCTATCCTCATCCAGAGATCCAGGTTTTCCTGTTGTTTTGTTGCCCATAGAACTGTATCTCACCAGAAATGGTGGCTCACTTCTATAATCCCTGCACTTTGGGAGGCCGAGGTAGGTAGATCACCTGAGCCCAGGAATTTGAGACCAGCCTGAGCAACATGGCGAGACCCTGTCTTTACAAAAAATTTAAAAATTAGCCAGGTGTGGTGGTGTGTTCCTGTGGTCTCAGCTACTTGGGAGGCTGAGGCAGGGGGATCACTTGAGCCCAGGAGATCAAGGCTGCAGTGAGCTGAGATCGTGCCACTGTACTCCAGCCTGGGTGACAGAGTGAGACCTAGTCTCAAAAAAGAGAGAAATAACTGTATCCCAAAGATTTGGAGAAATGAGGATTGTTTTAGAATTGAGGACGTCAATGTAAAAGGTTTTGGAATGACTGTTGATTAAAAGAGATTAATTGGTCTGCTCTTGTTATTTAGGAACACTGCCTCATGGGGATCAAAGGAACTGTGAAGCGTAGCACAGATGGGGACTTCATTCATGCTAATGTTGACATTGACTTAATTATCACAGAAGAACCTGAAATTGGCAATATAGAAAAACCTGTAGAAATTTTTCATATAATTGAGCATTTTTGTCTTGGTAGAAGACGCCTTCATCTATTTGGAAGAGATAGTACAATTCGACCAGGTAGGACCTCAGTTAAAACAACAACAACTTTATGATTCTTTGGGTTATGCATGTCAAGAAATAGGACACGGTGCTGTGTGAAATAAACTTCTTATGCATTTGATTCCTTTTCTTGCTGTACTCAAATATGAACAGTTTCAGGTCCATAGCAAAATTGAGAGGAAGACACAGAGACTTTCCACATACCTTCTGCCCCACACATGCATAACCTTTCCAATTATCAATATCTCCCACCAGAGTGGTACATTTGTTACAAATGATGAACCTACATTGACACGTCATAATCACTCAAAGTCCACGGTTTACATTTGGATTCACTCTTGGTGTAGTAATTCTGTGAGTTTGGACAAATGTATAATGACATCTATCCACCATTATAGGATCATACTCAATAGTTTCACTGCCCTAAAAATCCTCCATGCTCCACTTATTCATCCCTACCCACAACCCTTGACAACCACTTATCTTTTTACTGTCTCCATAATTTGCCTTTGTCAGAATGTTATATAGTTGGAATTGTATAGTATGTGGCTTTTTTAGATTGGCTTCTTTCATTTGGTAATTGGCATTTAAGATTTCTCCATTCCTTTTCATGGTTTGATAGGTCATTTCTTTTTAGTGCTGAATAATATTCCATTGGATGTACCACAGTTTATGTATCCATTTACCTACTGAAGGACATCTTCCAAGTTTTGGCAGTTATGAATAAGCTACAGTGGAAATCTGTGTACAGGTTTTTGTGTGGTCATAAGTTTTCAGCTCCTTTGGGTAAATGCCAGGGAGCACAAATGCTGGATTGCATGGTAAGAATGTGTTTAATTTTGTAAGTAACTGCCACGACTGTCTTCTGAAGTGCCTGTACCTTTTTGCATTTCCACCGGCAGTGAGAGTTCCTGTTGCTCCACATCCTCACCAGCATTTGGTGTTGTCAGTGTTCAGGATTTTGGCAATTTTAGTGTGTGTGTAGTAGTATCACATTGTTGTTTTAATTTGCATTTTTCTGATGGCGTATGATGTAGAACATCTTTTCATATGCTTATTTGCTATCTGTATGCCTTATTTGGTGAGATGTCTTTTAAGGTCTTTGGCCCGTTTTTTATTTGGCTGTTTGTTTTCTTATTGTTGACGTTTGAGAGTTAGTTGTATATTTTGCAGAATAGTACTTTATCAGATTTGTTTTTGCAAATATTTTCTCTTATTCGGTGACTGTCTTCTCATTGCCTTGTTACATGTTTATTTTTATTTAATTAATTTCTGCTTTTTTATTTTCTTTCTACTTTCTTTGGATTTACTTCGTGTCTTTCTATCTGAAGTATTTTTAGATTGATATTCAGGTTAGGGGTAAGGTTTAATTTTGTACTTGTAAACTACTAGTATAAAAAGAAATTGAATAGGCAAGAGTTTCAAGAAAGAAACTCTTGCAAAAATTTAGTATTAGCTACATTAAAATAATGAAGAACAATCTGACTGATCGAAGTATAGGTGTTTGGGAGTTAGCCATATAAATAATAGTATGTGCAATTGAGAGTCTGTTCAAGAGACCTTAATTTATGGCCAGGCACTCTGGCTTACGCCTGTAATCCCAGCACTTTGGGAGGCCGGGGTGGGCAGATCACTTGAGGTCAGGAGTTTGAGACCAGCCTGGGCAACATGGTGAAATCCTGTCTCTACTAAAAATACAAAAATTAGCTGGATGTGGTGGTGTGTGCCTGTAATCCCAACTACTTGGGAGGCTGAGGCGGAAGAATCGCTTGAACCTGGGAGGCAGAGGTTGCAGTAAGCCGAGATTGTGCCACTGTACTCCAGGGTGACAGAGTAAGACTCTGTCTCGAAAAAAGAAAAAAAAGACCTTAGTTTATTAAGTTGCTCCTCAAATACACTTCTTCCTCAAGGAAATAGCCTAAGATATTTCACATATACCTTAGGAATACCATTTACCATTGCGTTAAAATAAAGGTTTACAGATAACTATGTGAGTCAAATATACTCCGAAGCCAGACAATTTTTTTTTTTTTTTGAGACAAGGTCTCACTCTGTGGTCCAGGCTGGAGTGCAGTGGCACGATCTTGGTTCACTGCAACCCCTGCCTCCTGGGTTCAAGTGATTCAGCCTCCTGAGTAGCTGGGACTACAGGTGTGCGCCACCACGCCTGGCTAATTTTTTGTATTTTTGTTAGAGACGAAGTTTCACCATGTTGGCCAAGCTAGTCTCGAACTCCTGACCCCAAGTGATCGCCCGCCTCGGCCTTCCAAGTGCTGGGATTACAAGTGTGAGCCACCAGACCCAAGCCAGACTATTTTAAACTTACTCTGTTCTTAGTAATACTTTTCAAATTTCTAGTAAAACACAATGTTGCAGTGCAGAATTTGGAAGAGAGGGGAGTCCCTTGGACTTCTACAGCCAGTTTACTCTGCAAAGATGCCCATGTTTTATGTAAGAGACAATATAGCAAGGGAGACAGAGTATTAGTTATTTCTATTATATCTTTAAATTTTCTGTTTCTTATTGTTTGTGGTGTTGTGTTCCACATATATTGAATATCATGTTCCATAATACCACAAACGTGCCAAAAAACAAACTAGAAGGCAGCAAATAAAAATCTCATGGATTTAATAGTGAGAGCCCACAGGTGTGGAATGTGCTTCTTGATCATGGTATCTGTCAGGTCATACATAAAAGGCACAGTATAATTGACCTTTTTTTCTTCAACTATTATAAATCTTATTGTATTCCTGCACTGTTAGAAACTAAAAATGTTTTGAAAAACAATGAACTAAGTATTGTACAGAAATGGCTACTGTATTTTAGAATGTGATCCTAGTGAAATATTTTTCATTTTATAGCTTTTTATGATGCATCTACTTTTCTAAGAAATAACCTAAGGATGATGGGGCAGATATAACCCTAATTTTGCCGATAAATAACCTAATTCTTAGGGATAATTGAACCTGTCCCAAATAATGCTGTGTCTCTTGTAATGCTCCAGAGGCATATTTCCAGGGACCCTTGCAAAAGACATGTCTATAAGAGTCACCACACCCAGAGAACCCCAAAGCATGGTGTCTGTATTGGGTATTTGTAGTTAATTTTGTAGTTCCTTCTATTCTAGAGACAGTTTAATTAATCAGAAAATATCCTTATTAGAAGCAGAGCTGTCTAGCAATATAATTGACAAAATAGCTTTTTACCTACAGAAGTATAATGTGCAGTGGAGATTCTGAGAAAGAAGAAATAATTTTCATTTTATGTAAGAAATATATTTGAGTTGGATGTTGAAGGGTGGGATTTTTAACAGGTTGACAGGTTAGAAAAGAAAATAATATGGGCACAAAAATAGGGGTTAGTATAGAAGAAGTTACTATAGTAGTTCATTGTTTTACTTAGAGGTTCATGAAAAGCATTAATGAGAAGTGTTATTGGAAAGTTCATTCAGCCATCATTGTAAAAGATCTTATATTTCATATTTATGAATTTGGGCTTTGTGGAAACAGTTGGAAGGTTTTTGAGCAGAGAAGTGACATGTTTTAATCTTTGCTTTAGGTTTTCCACTTTTAGAGGGAGGAGAAGCTATAGGTTATGAGATCATTACAGTATATATGTATGTCTGTGACACGTGTTACATGGTAGGGTATTGACTTTGTTAAAAAAAAACGGGGGGGGGGGAGCTTAAATTTGAGTGTAGCAGTAGAAATGGAAAGATAGGAATGAGTAGGAGTAACATGGTAGTGGTTAAATTTCTCAGACCTGTCAACTGAGAATATTTTCTAGTTAGCAAGTGTAGAGCAAAAGTTGGCTCCAAGATTTTAATCAGAAAATGGCACCATTTACATAAATAGGAAGATTATATATAATTTATTACAGTTTCACTAAACCCAAACTCAGTGTAATGTATAGGATTTTTTTTCTCTAAGTTCTATTCTCACAAAAGATAGTACATGGATGGGGACAATGAAGAGGATATATTACAAAAGTTACAGTCTAGAAGGAAAAACAAGATATATACCTGTTAAATCTTTAAAACATTACCACAGTTAAGTGCTATTCTGTAAAAGGTATCAATATGGGATGAATGATGGGGACATCTTTAAGAATGCATTGGGGATTTGAACTAGCTTCTAAAGAATTAATAATAGAAGAGAAAATTGCAAATAAAAAGTATAATCTTTGTTTCCTCCATTGCAGGCTGGCTCACAGTTGGACCAACACTTACAAATAGCAACTACAATGCGGAAACATATGCATCCTATTTCAGTGCTCCTAATTCCTACTTGACTGGTTGTACAGAAGAAATTGAGAGACTTCGACCAAAATCACCTCCTCCCAAATCTAAATCTGACCGAGGAGGTGGAGCTCCCAGAGGTGGAGGAAGAGGTGGAACTTCTGCTGGCCGTGGACGAGAAAGAAATCGATCTAACTTCCGAGGAGAAAGAGGTGGCTTTAGAGGGGGCCGTGGAGGAGCACACAGAGGTGGCTTTCCACCCCGATAATTGTTGAAGACATTGAACCTATTCATCCTCCTCTAACCTTCTTTACTGTAATTAAATTTCAAGTGGGAGACTTAACTTTAGAACTCACCTCCAGCTTGCACTTTGCTTTAATTTCTCTGAGCTCCAGGAATGTCTTAGCCAGCCTCGCTTGCGGTTGTCACACACACTGTCTCATTTTTTTTCAGGATGAATGAATAATCCTGCCTTTTGTTATGTGCATGAACAGAATGGAACAATTCAAGTAGCTTCATCTTCAGAGACTGAATTTATTCTGATAGACTTCAATTAATTACAAAGGATTTTGCTAATTTTGGGGAATAAATAATGGAAAAAGATCCAGTCTGTGGTATCATGCTAGTGCTGACAGGAGTTGGTAATGCACATCCTGTCACTGCTGCTATAGCAAATGGGGAGCTGTTTGGGACCCTGATAGAGTAGGGTTGGAACAGATGGTAAGCTTCTGTCAGGGTTTTAACATTTTCTTGATGAAACAATAAAAAGAGGTGAGCTTTTTCATCTTTTTTTTAAGTTTTAAATAAACTCAGATATAATTTGAATACTGAAGAAATTAAGAGACTTTGAACAAAATCACCTCTTCCCAAATCTAAAATCTGATAGGGGAGGTGGAGATTCCAGGGATGGGTGAAAGAAGAGATGGAACTTAGTAGGCAGACTTTAAAAAAAAAAAAAGGTCATCATCGTAATCTCAATTTTGTGGCTATGACTCCTAATCATGCTTCCTAAGAAGCAAAGGAGGACAAATATTCATGTGCTAGATAGCACTCTGGTGTGAACTTGAACTGGGATTGACCTTAAATTTTATATTCCTCAAATAAAAGAGAGGCAACAACAAGGCACCTCATTATCAGATGCTTGGTTTAAACATTTTGGGACTAAAATACTTGGTGATTTTAGTCATACATATGACATACACCTTTAAACTTCTTATGGAGATAGTTTAATGTAAAACCAACTATAGAAAACCCTCAACTTAAGGATACAACTTGGAAATTGGAACTGCTATTGCCTTTTATTAAAACCATATGGTGTGATGTTTGTTTTTAAAATTATATAAGACTTTATGCTGTCATTTCTCTTGCTATACTGTAATTCATGTTTTAAATGAATTTGATAATGAAATTATACTGTTATTCTTGATGAATACTTTTCTTATTTTTATGATTTTTCTAATGAAACTTTAAACTTTTGAGATTTGAGTCTGTTTTCTATAAGTAGAATTACTGTTGTTACCAGTTGAAAAAGGACTGACCTAAAATCAATCTCTTTTTTTTGTCTGATGGATTTTAATGACCATTCTGTGCTCATATTATACCTAAGATGAGATTATAGTACATCCACCAAAGACTCAGTTTGAAGATAAGGACTGAATGATAGAAGAAATAAGGCTGAGATCCTTAAAAGCCTAGTACTATTTAGTACAAGAGAGCATGTTTTTGCTGAAATTATGGTTTTTGCTGAAATTATGGTATATTTTCAACTTCACTAATTACAAATTATCTAGATTTAGAACTCTATATGTCAGCATTGACCTGGGAATGAGGTCAGGATGGAGAAGTTCCACTTGCCTGTGATGGGTCCTTAGAAGTAGCAGCTAAAGAGTAACCATGTCCTATACACAGGGCTCTCTATTACGTTCCATACCCTGGGCCTACCCAAGGTGACATTCCTGGAGGAGGTGACATTCCTGCTGTTTACATGGCATTGGCACCTGTGAGATCGGTGTCACAAGTTCATCTTACAAAGAAGTAGGTATGGCTGCTTTGCTGGTTGAAAGTTAAGGGGAGCCATGATCTACCATATTTAGGGAAAAGTTATTTAAAAAAGAGTATATGGTGGAAAAAGAACGTAAGACCTAGAATTTATCCCTTTGACGATGAATCTGGTCTTTTTAATACCAAGATGGAATTGATTCACTAGGTTTTGCTAACTTTCAGTAAAGATTGAGGTATTATTTTTGCAATAGACTATGTATTCATTGAGGAAAGGTTTCCAATGAAACTTCATTACTCTGACCTCTTCTAAATTTTGATCTTCTTTATATTTACATGTCTTACATTCCACAAAATTATGTAGAAATGCTGGGCATGGTGGCTCATGCCTGTAATCCCAGCTCTTTGGGAGGCCGATGCGGGTGGATCACTTGAGGTCAGGAGTTTGAGACCAGCTTGACCAACATGGAGAACATGGAGAAACCCCATCTCTACTAAAAATACAAAATGAGCCGGGCGTGGTGGTGCACACCTATAATCCCAGCTACTTGGGAGGCTGTGGCAGGAGAATTGCCTGACTCCAGGAGGCAGAGGTTGCAGTGAGCCGAGATTGCGCCACTGCACTCCAGCCTGGACGACAGAGTGAGACTCTGTCTCAAAAAAAAAAAAAAAAAAAAAAAAAAATTATGTAGAAATAAATTTTTAGTTGCTTTATGCACTAATTCCTTACTGGGGATAGAAGCTAATTATTGTGAAATAACCCAGTTTAGAAGTTAGAAGATCAGCATGTCTGAGTTTTTACAGAATTATAATTCATGGTATTCCAAACCAACTGTTGGTATTTATTTCCAGTGAGAACCATTTTCCCACTGACCTTCCTCCTTTCAGAGGACGGGGATTATGAGGCCCAAAGTACTGATTGAGTAGGAATACTTTTTTACTCTTCTTCACTGTGGAGAAATAAGAGGGCAGGTAGTTGATGATGTCAGGTAGAACAGATTTTATGGTGTGGAATACCATACCCAAACACAACTGAATCAGATTAGACTACAGAATTGTGGTGATGGCAGTCAGAATGTAATATGGTCATCATGAAACAGTACAGTGTGAGAGGTCAAGGTGTCAACCTGGGAAATGAGAATCAAGCAGGAGTGTGGCATGGCAACCAGCTCACAGATCCAGAGTTGAGAGGGATCACTACTGCAGCAGCTCTGCTCTGATACTCTGGTAAGTAGTAGAGCCACTTTATGAGCCCTTATTTCCTATCTCCCTTATTCTGAGGCCAGGTCAATGATATGCTATAGTTTCATTTAAGTTAATAGAGTATAAAGGTGGGATACTTGGGAGCTACATTGTGCATCAGTGTGTCACGGCTGCTACTAGGAGTTACTCCTTTTCATGTCTTTTAAAATACTTTCTACCCATCTTAATTGCCAAATTATCTTTTAGTTACAGCAGCTTATTTTAAAACCTGTACTGTTTTCATCCTGAATTTAGAACATAAGATTTAGTCTTTGAAGTATAGTTTCAGACTTTACTAATTTGTTTAATATAATCCTTATTAACTTGACAAAATGAAAGCCCAGTTGGGGACTTAGTCTAAACAGTAGTCTTTGATCTGAAAGTGTCTCATATTTTGTGATCAATTAAAAACATAAACCTTTGCTTATGCGAAAGGTCTTTCTTAGAACAATCCTGTAATCTTAGGGTTCATTTGTGACTTTAGCATTATCCTCTCTTTGATGTTTGGTAATAGGGGCTGAACTTTTGCTTGGATCTCATGTATATATAGTCAGTTTTGAGGCTATAAATCTAGGACTTTTCAAAAGATTAGAACATTTATCCAGCAAACTGACTCCATTGAAGACTTCATTACTGAAAATACCACATTGCTTCTACTCTCAAGAACTCTATCATTTACTCATATAAATATTGCTAGCTATAATGCACAGAGAAAAACTATCTCGTTCAATCTACATAATTGGGACATCCTTTTCCAGTAAACCCTTTTTCTGCTATTGGACAAAATATTAAAATGATCAGTTTGAGTATATGTTAGAGTTCATGTTTCTGTAACTCAAGGTGCTAATAAACTGAAATCAGATAAGGTAGGTTTTTCCAAAAATACTTCTAAATAATTGAGAACCTAGAAGTCAACAATGTAAAAATGCATATGGGACTCTAGTATATTAATAAATCAGAGAAGCAGGCCAAGAACTTTTTAATGGGATAATTGTCTTTTTTAGGCACATTATTTTCATATTAATGACATGGAAATATTTTCACTCATTTACTTTCATCTATTTATCTGTGCTTTTTCTCACTTTGATGAGTTCTCTCAACTTCTTTCTAAGAAAAGCAGAGCAGAGCAGCATAGAATGCCTTAGTAAATGGCCACTGACTCTTGGTCTCAGGCCATAGCGACTATAGAGAGAAGAGTGGGGCTGGAGACCTCATATCCTGGGTAAAGTGGCCATCACTTGTCATCTCCAGTTAATTGTCACCACAGAGAGAAGAGGGTAAGTCTGAGATGTTCATGTGGCATTTCCCTACATTTTAGAGGTTGACAAAATAGTTTGTGATTTTTGCTTACATTTGCATTCATAGAACTAAAAAAATTCTAAATTGATTTGGCTAGCAAAATACCCACATGCATATTTTATTTTTTATTTTTATTTTTTGAGACAGTCTTGCTCTGTTACCCAGGCTGGAGGGCAGAGGTTGGCTCACTGCAACCTCTGCCTCCAGGGTTGAAGCGATTCTCCTGCCTCAGCCTCCTGAGTAGCTGGAATTACAGGTGCCCGCCACCACACCCAGTTAATTTTAGTATTCTTAGTAGAGACAGGGTTTCACCATGTTGGCCAGGCTGGTCTCAAACTCCCTACCTCAAGTGATCCGCCTACCCTGGCCTCCCAAAGTGTCAGGATTACAGGTGTGAGCCTCTGCGACTGGCCAACATCCATATTTAAATTATGCATGCATTATAGATTTATACTGTGTGACCACATTTACTAAAAAAAGAGGAAAAAAGATTACTTGCTTGAGATGGGAAACTATCACCTTTGAAAGCATATTAAGTAGTTGGCTGGCTTTGGAATACACAGTAGATTGAAAATGTGAACTAATACTTTAAAATTGCCATATAATGATATGACTGCAAGCCATTCATCTGTCCGAAGGGAGAAAATGTAGAGGTCTAGGCTTGTGTTGTCACAAAATACACCTTTTAGATAATCCTATACCCGTACAGATTTTTATAACTGTTGCTATCATAAGAGAATGGCTACATCATTATCCTGCCTTTTCTGTGTATGTGTTTATTTTGTTGTTGCTTTTGAAAGCAATGGACAAAACCTCAAAACACAATTTTGTTCAGATATATCCAGTTTAGTAGTTTATGCTGGTTAAATGATCAAAGTAATTGCTTAAATGTCTTGTGGAATTATCTGTCACTTTATAGGTTTATGTATTTTGGTGGGTACCTTAATAATAAAAAGATATTTAATGTAATAATATTGCTCATAATTCATGTAAGCTACACAGGTAGTTGAGTTATTGTTTTGTCTAAGAAGCTAGGTTTATAGCATGGTAAATAAAAATCAAGATTTTGCTTTCTTTTCTACTATTAAGCTCAATTAAAGGA